TCCCAACACTCCTAAACAGGAGAGAACAGGAAATGGAAAACAAGACTGAGGGTTGAAAAGACACTTACTCTTTCTCTTTGCTTTCTTTTTCCACTTGAGTGAGACAATCCCATTTTTCCTCCCGCTTCTTCTTACACATCACAAGGACCATGTCTGTCTTTATCTGCATGGTTAACAGCAAGACATGAATTTAGACTGCTTCATAAAGGGATGCCAGTCAAAATGAGTAAGGTTAGCTTGTAACATAAACCTCTTCCATACTCACAAATTCCTGAAACATTTCTCTCAGCTATCCATTATTATGTAGCATAAAAAAATTATAGCATATACTCAGCTCAGGGTACAAAGTATTAACTTGACTGTGGACAATTCATATATGTGGTTAATATAATACTAGTACAGACTTACAGTACCAATACAGAAGAACACAGAGCTGCAGGAACACTGTTCAGTGATTTAAAGGATGCTCAAGTACTCAGGATTGCCTGGTAGAGTGACTATATTTACTGGACTTCTCCAAGCATACCAGGTTCAGACAGAGGCTCCTCCCATTTATTTCTCCAAGAACAAGAAACTAGTTTTAGGGTATTGCTTAATTTTGCAATATGTTTTCAAGTTACAAAGCCTGTTGACTTGCAACCCTGACCTAAAATTCACAGAGAACTCCTCTGTGCCACAGCAGACAAGGCTCTACTGCAGCTTTAGCTTGGCTTAACAAGTACATGACCACTGGTTGCTTTCTACTGTGTAAAAAAAATCACCAGAGCATCACTCATTTATTTCAGCTGGTTTAATTTCACTCTGTACTCATTTTAGGCCAATTTCCAACTGAACTGGTAGTTCTTCATATCTGATGTCTCTAAGTACAACATAGAACTCAGAGGAGGTAAGTGACACATCTCAGCCTGGAAAGGTGCCACAAGCAGCAGAGTATGGGTACCACCAGTCAGCAGCAGTACCATGTACTAGTTGTCCTGTTTTGGCCGGGATAGAGTTAATTTTTCCCTTAGAAAATTACCGCCCTGGTAGGTTTAAACCACCACACCCACCAGTGTTCAGTTCTGGAGCAGCACACCCTTACTAAGGCAGAGCAGGTTCCAGACTTGGCTTTAGGAATTAAGCCTATTTAAACTTCCCAAGATTTCAGTCTGCTGACAAATCTCTTAAAAATCGCAAAGAATTTCTCAGAGGTATTTAAAAGCACAGCTGCAAATAAATGCTTGATGGTATTTTCTGCTTCATTATTTATGAAATCCTGTTGGTGAACTATTATATATTCAGACATGATCTCCTGTAATAGGATTCCAGAGACTAATTCCACAGTTATGACAATCACAGATTAGGAAGACTCATATTCACAATGCAGAGATTTAGCAGCAGAAGGGAGGGACTGACCATTGGAAGAGAGTCACCTGAACTAGCCAGGCAGTGAACATGATACTTTGTGAGGGCTCCAAATAACCTCTAACAGACAAGGTGCACTGACCTTTCTGGAGCTGCCTTCCACAGAGATGGGTTTCAGGAGATTGTTGAAGGTCATGGTGTAGTTCTTCCCATTCAGATTCTTCACTAGCAGATCAAATGACCTGGACCCAGGAAGTGGAGGGAGGAAAGGCACAAATATTCCAATCATTACCTTGTCTGAAAATCCTTTTGCAGGCGTTAATTCTTACAAAAGCAGAGTACTTCTTGGGAAAGCAGGCCAACAGGCTTGAATTACTTTATTACCAGGGCTCTCAAAATGTTCAGTTCAATTTTAACAGAGAAATTAAAAGGACCAATCCAGACTTCACAGCAAATCAAGATCTTTAGGATCTTTTTTACCTACAAACTTGAAAAATTTCCTTAATGTATACCTCAGTTCTATCACCACGAATACCCAGGACTAAGACTATGTGCCCCGTCAAGTGTGGTGAGGTGCACTCGTAAAATGAAAGCACCATGATAGCCTCAAGTGCTACTGAAAGCTAATACAGCTGAAGTTTAAAAAAAGAAAAAAGTGGGTTGAGAAAAAAAAAGGCTGATCCAACCCTCCTGCATTTGTGTTCTTGTTGTGCTGCAAGATGAACTCACCTCTCTGTGAAATTCACCTGCACATTCTCAGCTGGAAGCTTCTGGACACCATTTAAGGAGATGTAAATCTTAACAAACTTATCTGACTGATCCCAACCTGGAAGTGGAAAAAAGAGGTTAAGTTCTACCTTTCCTCCATAAGCTTCATGCACTCCAAACTTCCCCCACAAAGCCCCCTAGAATGACTAGGGTCTTTGCCTTACTGAAGCAATTTTCAGAGCAATAAAAGGAAAACATGAATTATTCAGAAATAACTTGAGAGCAAAGGCAAGTCCCCCCATGTAGCCCTGTTCCCTAATCCCTGCAAATTCTGAGAAAACCCATGTATCAGCTCAGGTCAAAAGAGAGCAACCCGGGCTGTGCAGGGGGAGTCAAAGCCAGCTATTTGCTCCTACTACTGCAGTTTCCTTGACCTAATTCTTCCCCTACTCCCTACATCTTGAGCAAGTCCCTCTCCTCTCACCTATATGGAGAACAGAGAAGCCAAAGCTTACTCTTTCATTCCTGTTAAACGCTAAGAAATAGAAAAACACCAGGTGGTACGGCAGGGATACTTAATGCACCCCACCAAACACTACCACACAAACGTGATCAATACACATCTGGGGTTCGGATGGTAAGGTAAGCATGCAGTAGCTTTTAAAGTGGGGTCTCCAGTCCAGAATATACACTTAATGCTTCACTATGATGCTAAGTGGCAACGCTAACTCCCAGTAATGCCACCCTGCTATCTCTTCAGAAAGATGGTGTAGCTCTAGAAAAATAATCCTACCATAATTATTTATTTTCACTGTGTACCCTCCCAGTGATGACTTTTCTTCCTCTGCCACATCTTTCGGCTTCGGTGGAGGCTGATTCTTGATTTCCAGCTCCAGCTTTTGTTTCTCTGCCACAAGAACATCACGCACTCGCTTCCTAGTGGCATTCGTGAGCAGCTTTTTAACCTCCTCCAAATCTTTCTGCAACTGGTTCAAACACAAAGGATCACACGTATACATCAGATACATTCTTTGTGCTCAGAGCTCACAGCTTTTTTTGACAATTTCACGTGTTTCAAATGTTGGAGTTTCAGTTTTATCAGATCAGTAGTTAAGTTTCTTTCTCCAACCAATTAAGCACGGAATCATCCCTTCCTCACCCCCTGTCCACTCCTGTAGATATGTACAACCATACAATCTTAATTCACAGAATGGTCGGGCTGGAAGGGTGCAACTCCCCTGTTCAACCACGGCCATCTCAGAGTATAGGGTTGGAAAAGACCTCCAAGATCATAAATTCAGACAAGATTTAAGCTTTCAGTTAAGCTTTCAGCTTAACTCTTCATACATTAAAAAACAACAGAAACCAAGAGAAGCAGGGCGGATCGCACAGCTCCCTCAACACGCACCACCGCAGGGAGAGACCTCCGTAGCCCTCAGCGAACGCGAGGACTGAGGGCTCCCCACCTCCCAGCCCGGCCACACCGCCGCCCCTCGCACAGGGCCCCACCAGCGCCGACTGAGCAACGCCGGGAATCGCCTCACCTCCTCCCGCGCCACGGCCATGGCGGCTCCCTGCGGAACCTCTGGAACCTTCCGGCCGCAGGAAGTGACGCTCCTCCACCGGTCCCGTCCGCTCCGCCCCTGACAAGGCGGGACCAGCACCTTTCCCGCCCCTGGGCTCTGAGGGACGGGCGGGATCAGGAGCTTCTTCCCCCGCCCCTGGGCTCTGAGGGACGGGCGGGTTGCTCAAGCTGAGGGGCGGGTGAAGCGGGCGCAGGCTAGGTTTTAGTTTGGGGATCAGAAATCCCCCCCTCGTTTTACGCAGATGCCCCTGAGCTCTGTGGCTATCAAGGTGCTCGAATAATTTTGCAAAATGAAGTGTTGTTTTCCTTCTTCAGGTAAAGAGTATCAGGCTCATGTCATGGAGGTAAATAGTGATCAAAGGGGAAGAAATCTTTGTTCCCAGTCTTTAAAGGAAGATGGGCTTATAAACTAAGTGCCCTGTGTCTGCTCCTCATTTTCATTGTTACTAAGGTTGGAAGAAACCTCCAAGATCAGTTCCAGCAAGGTTTAAGCTTTCAAGTTCTAAGATTTCATCAATTAAAAAACAAATCCAATAGAAGTTGTGTGGATGACACAGTGCTCTCAACACACACCACTGCAGAGGGAGACACTCACAACTAATGCAAAGGCTTTCTACAACAAACCCAGTGGGTAAATTACTCTTGGGAAATTATTCCTGACCTTTAATGTCACAATGTGTACTCTAGGAGTGACTTTGTAAGTGAGATTGGACAAAACTGTGTATATGTTAAACATCTTGTGCCCTTCACCTGATTCACAGTTGTCTTCAATATTTCATAGTTTTTCTTCTTTAAATTCTAAACAGCCAAATTTTTGTAAGGTTGTTAAGGTATGGATTAAGGATTTAATTACTGGAAAGTGGACTGGCCCAGTAGAATTAATAACATGGGGAAGAGAGATATATTTGTATTTTGACAGAGAATGGCCTTCACTGGGTTGCTGCTTGTTGTGTTAAGCCATACTTGGAGCACACTGGAAGGAACAGGATGGACCAACCACCAGGTGGATTGAAGCATGGACTCTTAAAAAACACGTGAAGATGATCACTCAGGGCAAAGTAAATGGGGATATTCGCCTTCTGAAATGTAGTGTCTATTTGTATGTCACGCCTGCCTCAACAGCGACAACTTTGTGAATAAGAGACTTAGTTATCCAGCCATTTACAAGGAAAATGTAGCTTTTATTAACAGAGCATTTGGCTATACGCATGTAAAAACATGCTGGTGTAATGCTACCAAAATTCTCCTTTAAGCATTTTCCTCATCATAAGAAAAACATGACTGCTGACACTGTTACTATGTCAGTACAGTATGTGCAGGTATGAAAGCATAATTAAGTTTTCATGTTTTATTCGCTGTCTCCTCTCACAGACCAAACTGGTGTATCAGCTGGCAGAACTGCACTGTCGCCAATGAAGCTCTTCCAATTCACATCAGCAGATGATCTGGCTTTGTCCTTCCCTTTCAGGTATTGGCATAATTTCTTTAGGATTTTTATTTGCCCCTAATTAATCAGACAAAAATCTGTATGTCACAAGAAGTATTGGGGAAAAAAATCTGGATTTTTTTTGTCTTCCCTCCAATATTAAAAAAGAAAAATAAAGCAGCTCTTCTTTTCCAAATAAACACTAGAAAATGAACTACTGTTCATCGGTGTAGTGAGCACCAACAAAAAGAAGTTTCTATAGCTCCACTGGGCATTAAAGTTTCCCTGAAAGAAGACAATAAGACAATGGCATTCTTTCTCTCAGCAGGGATGTAGAGGAGGCAGCATTTGCCCCCAGATGTCCTTTATAGACAGTGTGACCCAAGGCAGAACACAGCCCTTCAGCGCTGGAAAGGTCCATTTCTCTATAACAAGGTGTCAGCTATAACACCTGTTTTACCACATTGAGGAATGTCAGCTCATTTGCTGATACATGGGCTTAGGGTCTGGGGTCTTTTCTAAAGTGAACATGAAGGAATTAATCTGTTAAAAGATCTGTAGAGATAGAGAGGGAAGAAGAAATTTGATGAAAATGAATTCATAGAAGCCCTGAAGCCAAAGATTTATGTTCAAGTTGGCATTCCCCAAAGTGGTTTTAACAGATGTGCTGAGGTGTTTATTATAATCCTCTGCTGCAGTGCTTCAGGATCTGCAGTGGAGAAAAGATCTGCAAAATTAACTGTGATTATTCTAAATTTTCATAGGACTGTTCGTAAGCCTGACCATCTTCAGGAATAGCATTTGGAGACAGGATAGTTGATTTTATCTCGGAAATACAATATGGCCAGCTGGAATTTACTTTTATGGCTTTTTTTTTTTTTTAGTTACTTCCTTATAATTTTTTCTGTGTAGCAGCAACTGAGACAAGGAAAATTTTTGCGGTTTTTAATTTAGCTACTAATCTTTGAGTTTCTCTACTTAATTGTGGTCTTATATTAGCAAGTGCTCTTATTTTTGCAATTTAAAATGGCATTGCTTTCTAATTGAAGTTCTGGCTAGAGGAGGAAATGCTTTTGTTAACATAGAAATGCATTTGAAGTGAGCCTGTAATTTGCTCTTTTCCTTAAGTTTTTTTAAGTGTTTATTTAGTTTCCTTAAATATCGAGCATTTCTGTATACATGGCACTTCCCTTTGACCAGTAGCTTCCATGTGGAAGAGTTGTCACTCTTGTCATATAAAAACAAGCTCCACAGAGCTCTTCTTTGCAGAAAGCTGCAACAGCATCTGGATGCTGCCTCCTCTCCTGACAAATGCTTTGGATAGCAATGTGGAGGTAAATCCACACCAAGTGTTATGGCTGGTAAATTTAATCTTCAGCTTTTGTCGCTCTTTGCCTTATCTTCCCCTGAAGTGCTGTGTGCTCTGGCTGTTACCTGGGAACAACGACTGTTCATTTCAGTTAATAGAAAAGAAATCCTAGAGCAGTTGCTCACACAGAGGAATTGTTTTATAAGGTATTTGGATACTTTTGACTGTAGCACATTCTGCTCTGTCCTGCTCTTGCTCAGACCTGCCTCTTAGTAGTCACTTGCCAGTTTCTTGCTGTTTCCTTCTGCCCCCATGTCCCTTCCTTCAGGCACGCTACATGCTACCTCAAGGCTTGTGTACTCCAGGGAAGTAGGAAGTCCTTAACAACTACTGTCCCATTGCTGTATATGACCAACCTTTAGGAAAAGCATTCTCTATGCTGGAAATTGTGGAAGCGGCTGACAGCTGGTCTGTGAGCCAGAGGAGTGAGCTGACAGAAGAAATTTATAAGATTCGTGTTTACCCATGAAGGAAAAAAGAAGACAAGGTTGTTCACATGGGAACCAAGAGAACAGGGATAAACACCAGACACCTGCAGTTGGAAAAACAAAACTACTATCTGTTTGTAAAATTCTTGTAGAAAGTCTGCCCAAAAACAGTGACGCTGACTACATCATACCAATGAACACGATGAGCTGTGTTATTGTAACCAGTGAATGAAGTAGGCACTGTGTTGAAGAATGTATAGAAAGAAAATTCGCAGCCATAATAAAAAGGCCATTTTACCTGTTGCTTTGTGTGTCGTGTCCGTCCCAACAGCAACAGGAAATCTCAGACTGACATGTGGAGCAGAGGGCCAGGGTGAGCCCTTAGCTCCCTGGCACAGCTCCCTGTGAACAGGTACATTATCCTAAGGAACAGGCAGGAATTAACATGCACCCCCTTTGGACAGCCAACCTGCCAAGTCACTGTGTCCTGGTGCAACAGAGCTGCTGGTGAGAACTGCATCATAAAACCTGACACAGCAGCTGCTTCTTCCTGCAAACAGATTTAGGTTTCTTCTGAAGTAAATGGCTTTGGAAAATAAACATCCCCACGTTGTCTTCCATTTCCATTTATTTTACACGGCATCGTTCACACAATGATAACAAGATACCGATCTGAACAATTCTGTAACAATTAAAAAAGTAAACATTTGTTGTGACCATGTACATTGAATTGCACTTTTAATAACAAACATTACACTTATATCTTCATGTCATACTTTATATAACACATGGATGTGTTACCCAACTAGTGGTAGTACTGAATGGTTCTCAGTTGGAAGTCTGACCTCTCTATGATGCTCTTTTTTCCTAACTCTTGAGGATTTGTGAACTTGGGACACACCCAGATCATGGAGGCAACCCCAAATCTGGAAAACTTCGTTATCAGAGTCAGAGATTTGAAGCTGCTCTGTTTTCAGTGTGCTGGAGTGAATCCACCATAATGGCAGACACATGGATTATGCTTGATCAGAAACTTTTCTGCATTCATATGTCATCTTTTCCCAGTTCAAAGAAGTCAGAGAATCTTCTTCCATGCAAAAGAAAGAGTTCCCAAGGCTCAAGAGAGCTTCTCACACAGCTTTTGAGAGTGGTATAGCAGAATGGCAAACCCAGGGATTACTGAAAGACAGGAATTGAGGTCTGAAGAAAAATCTGGGAACATCTGCCATGGTTTGCATTGGTAGTACCATCCATGTATTATATAAAATACAAAAATAAGAGAAACTGTAAGGAAATTAGTACAGCCCAGGATTCTGATGGTATCAAATCACAAATGAAATTTATGATACCAAGTCCTTTTGATGTATTTATCCCCTTGTTATTCAGTTTCTTATATATTATTCTGTGTGTAAGATATAGTTCTCCAAAGATACATATATATTCCTTTACAGGTTAAATAAAAGCAAGTCCCACTGAATAAGAAAATAATTAAAAGTAATATCCTAATTGTCTACCCATTTTTTTGTTTTTCAGGTAAAAATAGCATGAAATACATTCAGTAGCAAAGCCATTCGGACCATGGAGAAATGGAGAGCCCTGTATTCCTGGAGAATAGACCTGTATGTGTTAAGTCACAGTTCTGAAATAAATTGTGCTGACTTCTGACCTGGGAAGGATAAGTTCTTGATCAATGCTGAGCATTATTTATCCATTTGCAAATTCCTTGCATTTCCCAAAAGCCACCTGTGGATTAGCTCATTCTAAAGGCTACTGTGATGTACACCTCCCCTAAAACCTGAGAAATCCAAACTTGAGCATTTCATCGTATCTGCCTTTAGTGTTATTACCTGGAAGGAGATAACGGGACAGTTCCCAGTAGGATATTAGCACAATAAACAGACAAATAATTTAGTTTTAACCTCTGTGTTTGCACATCTGGTGCAGCTAGCTCTTTGCACAGCAGCCCCTTCAGCAGGGTCCAGTATGGACAGGGAGTACTTGTCAGCCACAGCAATCCCTCAGACCTGAGGGGATCATCTCTGCCCTCTCTTCACAATCAATCAGACATGATACTACTGTTTTCTCTCTAGCAGCTGGAAGAACACCAGCACTTTAATGTAAGAATGCTTCTGTTTTCAAAGCCAAGAGTGTTTAGGCTTAGGAGATGATGCAGAAGTTGCCAATTATCCCTGAGTCTAACAGTAAAGAAAATCCTCTGAGTAAATGAAAATCACCTGATTATAGTTCTCCCACACATACAAGTACTTTCATGGGTTTCACTGCAGCTACTTCATAGAAGGAAGGGAACAACAGCCCTGCCTTCATCCTATGGAGAAAGACTGGCATGTGATTTTCAAATTTTGATACTTCGGTGCCAGTAAATGCAGATTTTTATTTACTCCTAAACTACCATGTTCAGTCAATGAGTGGCATCACTACTCTGAAGTCAACAAGATACTTCATGCTTTGTGAAGGGGCTGAACTCTTGCAGTTCTTGACTTTTTATCTCCATCTCCCCTTGTAAAGGGCTGTTTTTATTTCAAGTTGTTCTTAACACAGTGGCAGAGATGATCATTCATCTTAAAAGAAATTTCAAGGGCCAACTAAGAGAAGTAATTTAAAATGTCTAACAAAGAAAAAAAATACTGCTTACCTGTGTAAGCACTTCATCTTAGTTCTAGCAATGTAACTTAGCTGTAAAGTTAAATCCTCATTAATGGACAGGACAAGGGCAGGTTCATCCACTGGCAGTACTGATTACATGACTGACTACCCTTCCTGAGACTGGTTCTGCCAAACCCTAATGCAAGATGCACCTCAGGGATTTTGCAGTTTCTTAGCTTCTCCACCCATGGTGTTTTCTATCTTTTTTTCTTTTTATTCCTTTCCAAGTACATTTATAAACGTAAACTAAGTGGATTAAGTTCTATTACTTTGGGATATTAAGTTTGGTTCACAAAGATAATACAAGACTAGTTCACAAATGTACCATGTAACTAAATCAGCCTTGCTTCATTTAGCTTGTAAAGTGTTACAATCAAAGGAAAAGCAACTTTTTAAAGTGAAAAGAAGGACTTTTTTTTTGCCCCCATATTAGGATCAGATTATAGTCCAACAAGATAAAAGTTGTAGTAAAAATATTCTTTGGAGGTTTGTTCCTAATCAAAGTAAAGACTTTATTTCAGAATGGTGCCTTCTCAATAAAATTTAAAAATAGGTTTTAGTTCCACATATATATTTATAAAATTAAAATTAATTTTAATAAAAGTTTAATGTGAACACATAATTTACTACAGACTCAGGGGAAAAAAGGTTAATCACTCCAGACTTAGGAGCTGTGTTAGCTGTTCCAGTGCCACATGGAAACAACAGTTTCAGTGAGACTTGGATGATGTTTCCTGCTGAAAAGCTGACCAATAAGCCAGCTATCCCTGACAAATCACCAACAATATGTGTGTAGGTAGTTCTGTCACACAGAGATTTCTTTTCTTGCAGGAAACTAAATTTCCCAATAGCATCTACAGTCGACAGATAGAATTTTAGCTTGCCTGGTTTAATCATGGAGTCCTGCTCTTTTCCTTCATTCTGAGTATTCATCAAGATAATGCCATAAAGCTATTTTCTTACTCTTTCAGTAATGCTGAGAAGATGCACTTTCCAGCTAAATATTACTCTTCCAAATGCCACTGCTACAAATGCTACCTTGGATCTACAGCTGGAAGGTGGAAATTGTTTACTGCCTTTAGGGTCATTGCTTTCTGAAACTTTCTTTGGGTGAGATAAGCCAGCTTCCATCCTTACAAGAGTTTGAAATAATCATGATTAGCAGGTAGCAAATGTGGTTTTGTTCCTGAAATTCAACTTCCAAAGTCAAAAAGCAGCTACACGGAGAAAATGAATATTGTGTCAAAGCTCATTCTGTGAAATGTGGTGACCTTATTTACCAGGTCCTTTTTGATAACTTGTAAAGTCCCACTTCCATGATCTGCTTGCACTCATTGGACCCTTTGAGGTGATTTAACTCATTCACTTGACAAAAGATGAACTGTAGGGGGATAAATCTACCCACATCTATTTTTGTTGTTGTTTTTAATTATCTCAAGTACATACTACAATAAGGATAACGGACAGGATTGAATAATGAGGAGTTGGAGGGGTGACCAGGAGTGAGCTCTTAACTCATCTGCTCAGGAAGTCACAGCTTAACACATTTCTTTAATCATTCTTACAAGTGAATTTAAAACCATGATTGGAAAAATTCAGTAAGAATTATGTAAGATAAATGAAATGAAAAATTCAGACACTTGTCAAATAACCAGTTTCCCCTCATGGGCACTGTACTCTCAAATGCAACAATCAGAAGTTCACCAGGTATCCTTAAATGTCACTTCAGATTTATTATTAATTCAGATTCACATTCTGAATGTGAAGTGGAACTGGTAAGTGAATGACTAACACTGGGTTTAGTCAGTCAAGAGAATGGAAACATTTATGCAAATATTACGAGCAAGACAGTGACAAGGGAAAAAGACCTTTGATTACATTTGCAGAAGAAATAGCTTCTGTTTCCCCCCTTTTGTTCCTCACTATATTAATAATTCCAGATTATCACTGTTCTTGAAGATACATTTTAAAATATTAAAGTTTTTTAACCCTTTATTCTTAAAAGAGAGAATTGTGTCAGGATGGTGATTATATTTTGATCCTCAACTGCTATCAGCTGACTCTCTTTTAGACTCTTTCCTTTGGCACTGGTAACATTAAATTTGTACTACCCTGTTGAAAATAATTCACAATTATGCTTGACAACAAAGCACAAGATGGGTATTATTAAATTTTATTGTACAAAACCAACAATATATGGCATTCCTTAGAATTAAAAAAAAAAAAAAAATCAAAACAGAACTAGTGTCCCTGCAAAAATCTTGTAAATGAAACAATTAATACACAACATTTAGTCCAGCAATGATATTTACCTGCAAGACCATCTTCAGATGTGACACATATAATTAAAAAAATATTCCATCAGTTCAAGCAACAGTTTAATTTTCCATGAAATAAGTATTTTTACGAACACTTTATGTTTATTCAAAACAAATGTTTTTGAACTTTCTTACCTTAAGAGATATAAAACAACCAGACTGGTTTGGGAATCACCACGGAAATCTACCCCCACAGGAAAGTCTAGGGCTTGTATTCCACTTGAAAATGCTTGTTTTTTATAAAAATAAGTAATATCAACAAAGTGTTTCCTAACCAAACACTTCTAGCAAACAGATCTTGTTTCTGTGGTATTTTATTCATCAGTGCAGCACAAGCCTCTTGATTGATACCTCATTTCTGTGTCAAATCTGGAATCTGAATATAGACCCAGGGCAAAGTTTTCATTACTTTTATTCATAAAACCCACCCTTTAATGCACAGGATTTACAAGAGGTCAAAACCATGCAAGGTCTCCACTCTGCTTCTCAGCAAAAATATCAAGTAAGTGTCAAAACAGTTCTCCCTTTATCCCAGTGGAAGGAATTATTCCTTAGAATTCTTAATATAAACATGAATTTAAAAAAGGGAACTAAGAGATTTCGTATTAAATTCCAGTTTAGCTATAAATAGCCTTTAAACAACACTGTTACAAAACCTGCACTACTTGCATTTCTGAAGAAAAACCAATCCAAACTTAGAAGTTGTAAGGGAAGCTCATAGTAATTTTGCCAGGAGAGCACAAGCCTATCTATGGCCTAAACTTTACAAAAAGTGCTTCTCTGCAGGACACAGTTGCTGTGATAAACTTTTAAGATGGTCCCAGGGCCTAAGTTATCCTCAATGTCTTACACTGTGCTTTCTAGGGAGAAATTATGCTGCAGTACTGTCCATTTTCCATTCTCTCTCTTCCTCCACCAGAAGAAGAAAAACCTTCTATGCAAGACAAAAATAATTTCAAATTACATGTGTATTAAAGACCTAGTTTTGAAATATTTATTTAACATCTAGTCATATAAAATAAAGTGTAAAAGTATGAAGGTATCAGAACGTGGCTTTCAGCAAGGCAGTATGGGAAGTAGGAGTTCAACAAAAACCAGGACTATTTTTTCCCCCTTTGAAAAGGGTCATATCAGAAAATGAATGAAAAACACGGAAGATCACTTCAAGCCTGCACTCCTGCCTCATTGTCCTTTTCCCAGGAGGAGAGACCACTGGAAGCATCCTCCAAGGTTTCAGCTGTGTTGTTCTTTGTGCTCTTGTGTCGGCTGCAGCTGGAACTATGTGCTGCCCTCTCTGGGAGGCAGGGGCGGCTGGGGTGCCTGTGTGCCTGTGGCTGTTTTGATAGAGTTCAGGGTTTTGCTAAACCAAGAGTTTTTGGCAGCTTGGATTTCATTCATAAGGGCTCCTCTCTGGTGCTCCAGCTCCTAAGAAAGCAGAATAGTCAGAATTGATCAAAACCTAATTAATTAACAAAGAAGCATCCTCACACTCAGTCCCTGCAGTCCAGCACTTCCCTTGCAATCTCCCAGGCACTCGAGAGAGAAGACATTCAAACTGCTGAAACAGCACAAGATATTTAGACATACAAATAAAATCAACTTTTCTTTTTAAGACAGAATTTTTTTCTGAAAGTTCAGATATACAGGTATGCACGTATGTGCTCCCTTTTGGAACAATTTTTTGCATCATTTAGAATAATTTTGGACTAAGCATGAGGTTAAGGTGACCACCCTGCTGTACTTGGATTCCACATACCTGAATTTTGCACTTGGCTTCCACAAGCTGCAGTTTGGTCTGTGCAAGCTCCAGCTCCATCTCTCTCAGCTGCTTCTTCAGTGCATCCTTCTCATCATCTGTTTCGATGCCTTTGTTGTCTGTGCTTACAGCAGGAACCTTCAGTGCCCCCTCCTTGCTGAAAATCTCACTGCAGTGTTTGCAGGCCATCACTTTACCCTGAAATATCCAGAAAGTTCATTCTTAATCCATGTTACAGGAGTTGTTGTACGTCCTGGAAGAGCCATTTTATTTGTCATTTTATGCGTCAATCTCAAACCATCTAGTACTGCAGTTTTTATAATTGGCATGAAAAGAATTTGAGTAGTTCACGAACAATTTCCAGGGTATGTTAACCAGTATAAAAATTCCTAAAATCTAAGGATGCTCTAAGCACAGAGACTTTGCTCCTATACTAGAATCTTCTTGCTACCCAAAGCTTCGTAATATTTGTGACAGTACAACTCAGAAGAGTAAATTAAATCTGAGTAGATGAAACAGCTGGCCTGGTTTGCACAGACTGTAACAGGATATTGAGCTATTTCAGCAGAATATAGGAACATCACCCCTAAAATATTATCAATAACATTAAAAAGTCACTAAAAAACAACAAATCCAGTTCAGCTTGAGTACTAAAGAAATATGTAGAAGCTAAAGCAGAGGGTAAACAACTCTGCCTACTCAGAACTATTAGTAGTAGTAGTAGTAGTATCTATCAGGGAATGTTTACCTCTTATGTAGGCATTCCTGGTAAGGGGTTTAGAGAAGGGAGAGGAACCCCTGTGGATATTCTGGGGATGGTCCTAGCTGTGCCATTTAGTTTAATTACTTAAACCATTCTACTTAAATTACAGAAACTCATATATAAACCTTCCAATCTGGCCAATTCCAATCCCTCCGCTGTGCACACTTGAGAAACAACACGTTTTGTCTTCTAGAGTCTTCTTTTCTTTTTCAGTTAATCAAAACATCCATATAAATACTGTTTTCTCTAAATTTTTTACCAGAAGTATATATTTTAACAGCAAAAAGAAAAGCCAAGTACTAAGTGCACTTCAGTTTTAGAGTTCCACACTGTCTGATGCAAGATAAAGAACCACAAAAGGAAATAAACCCTTTCCTTGTTTACATCTGCTGAAAAATGCATGTGTGACTATTGATGTACTTTAAGCTTCAGTTCATGTTTCATTCTGTATCCCTGACATTCAGCAACACTTGTGTTAGAAATATCCCCTATGTAGAGACATTGTTCTCACCTTCACAACTTCCAGTTCATCTTTACTGGCCGTTTGTTGTTTTTCCAGCCTGGTACTCAGCTGGGAACAAATCTGGAGCAGAGAAAGCAGTCTCTTAGCTCAAGTTTACTATGCTAAAATAGAATCTGTACTTTTTAACAATGGTTTTTGCTTGAACCAACATTTCTTAAATTCTGCCTCACTCATGTATATGGATTCCCCCTTAACAACTCCATTGCTGCTGCTGCTGCTAATGATAAAAACCCAGCAGTATTCAATACAGAACCAGAACACAGAGACAAGGACATTTTATGGATGAGTTGGTTTATCATGTTTATACTGCATTATGTCACAAAGTACAGAAGCATTCATCTACAGTATTAAAATTACCTGAAAGACAGGTTATTCCTGACTGCCTAATTAGGAGACTATTAGGAAAGCCACAAGATTTATGACAAATTACAACATTGCTCTCCAAAAGCCTGAAAGGTGGAGCTTATTTGAAGGATGAGATCTGCAATGCTGAAAATTCAGCTCTCATAACAGGATGAAAGAAGAAATATAAGAGAGGGTCTCTAGAATGGTACCTGTTTGTACTCTGCAATGATGGCTGTGGTTTTCTTGATCTCAGATTCTGCCTTCTCCAGCTGCTTCCTGAATACTTCCTTCAGCTAGGAATTGAAGAAGAGAAGTTACACAGTATACTGACAGAGCTTCTCAAAATGTGTCATCAGATTGTTTTCTTCGTGTCTCACTGTGTCTACAATAGCTCTACAGCTGCTTCTTATGAAATTCCAGTTAGACAAGTGTCTGATTTATTCAGTTTACAAATACTGATTATATCAGTGATAAACAAAAAAGTCTATGCTGTGACCCTTTATCCCTGGGTAGAGAATTCTCCTGTAACTTAATTCCCATTCTCTGTGTTAAATGGTGGTACATCATGGTCCACAGAACACAAAAAAAAGCATTACTATTAAGTGGGGTTTACTGATTTAGATTTTGTTTTTCTGCACAGTGTCACAGCAGGTTTGGCTAGATTGTTTGCTTGTTTGTTTGGAGATGTCACAAGAAGAAGAAGAATCTCTCAACATTATCACTGTCATCTCCATAACAGGAGAAAAAAAATCTGTTTGGGTCTATGACACTGAGTGAAAACACAGCTAACTCATCTCTCCTTCAGAACCATTCCACTTGAAGAGCCCTTTCAGTAGGAAAAAAGCCTCACTGCCTTATTTACGGCAAACAGAGAGCTCAATTTTAGAGAGACACAACAAATTAACATTAATTGTTGCAGTCACCATTGCCAAAGAGCAAAAATAAAAATCAGGGTATCACTTTTGAAACGTACACATTAGATATATAGGATTACAGAACAAAGACTAAGTATTTTGCAGCTGAGTATGAAGCCAGGTCTAGTCAGCAAAATTCTCCCAACCTGCACCCCTGTTCTTCTGCTCTTGGGTCTAGCTTCAGGTAGGAACGCTATTTAAACGATCCAGGAGCTGAATCCAGAATGGGCTCTTACAAGGCAACAACTCCTCTGGTTTCTTCATTTAGATATTTAAGAGGTCTGATCATATCTCCTTAGCTGAGATTGCTCACCACCAGTGACAACAATCACTACTTGGAATACTTGGAAGAGGATAAGCTATGAAAAAGTAAACATTCAGAGCTCAAGTAAAGAAAAACACTGAAAACTCTACTTTGAGAAAAAAAATTACACTGGCACTATAGAATTTTAATCGAAACTGCATTTTGAGGCAAAATCCTTTACATAATTGCAACACATCCACACTTTTCTGCATATCATTTTTCTTGCATTTACTAACTAAATGGGAAAAGCTGGAGAATGCCTTACCTGAGCAGTTTCCTCTTCCTGCTTCCTTTTCTCTTCCTCAGTCTCCACTAGCTTCTGTTTGGTCAGGAGAAGTTCCTTGTTCAAAACATCTGCTTTGTCTTCAGCCTAGAATCCAAGATACTTGTTATCTGTGCCAGTACAAACACACTGGGATATACAGCTCAGAAATACACCAGATTTAGGTTTTAGCATTGCCTTTTCCTGCCCTCTAAGGGCTCATGTAACTTTTTGGTATGAAATTCCCTTTTCAGTTAGCCACTTACAAAATTATTTCACTGTGTTTCAACAACTGTGCAAAAGGACCCTTTGGCCAATTGTTTACCTGTCCTAGCACAAACAGTGGTGTATAGAATATTTTTGTTGGGAGCAATATTACTCTAAGTGAGAGCAGCATGATTTACCTCCTGTGTAACTTCATTTTTTAATCTGTGAGCAGGGAAAACATAACTGTAAAATAATTAGGTGTCTGCATTGTACCCTACAAAGTGTTCAGGCAAAGACAAGTGTAAGAGACAAACAGGACCAGCAGATAAAATGGTTTATCAGTGCAAATAAGTATTACGTGAAGAAACCTGATAATTGAGAATATGACTTTCTCCAGAAGGACCAAGCTTGGGGTGACATATATTGGGAATACTTTGTTTTTGTGAGCCCTGTCCTCACCAATCACCAGGAGAGAAATGTATTCCTCAATGTTTTGATATATTCTGTAGGCCTCCCCAGCTGAGAAACACACATAGCATCTCACCACCTTTCCTGTTCATTAATGAGGTCCAGGACAGGAAATGGTTGTGGCCAATTAACACTGACTTTGCTGAAATTACAGGAGGGAAAAGAGCATTGGAAACAAGTAACCACAGAGAACTTGTCTCTGAGCTGAAGTTTGGTTTTCTACCACTGTGGTAGTATCAGCTTATCTTTCTGCCACAGTAATAATGATTAATGATGATAACAGTGGTGTTTGTGGGCAGCAGAACCAGCTCTACCATCTCCATGACTGAAGAGATAGATTAAAGATTTCTGCATTGCTTAGTGTGTATAAGGCTCTGTGGGTGAAAGGAAAATAAACAGTGCAAGAATGGAAAATTGATGAGTTTAATGTCTTAGAACAAAAGAACTTGGAGATTACAAGGATATTTTTGATGAAAGAACTCTTTAAGATATGCTCTGAAGGAACTGCAAATCTCTCCTCCTTTCTTGTGTTCATTCCAGTTTCTCCAACACCCGCAGTGCAGAAAGAGAGGGCTGAATGTGTGGTTCTCTGAAAATCATTGTCTATGAGGCAAAGGGCTGCCCACCACATACCACAGGGAACACGAACAGTTATCAGTGAGCACCCAGAAACCCTTTGAATTTTTGGTGCCATGCCACTTCATTATCTCTGAATTTTGTTGGCTATACTAAAAGTGCTGTGAAAGAGATCCACACAGACAATCTGCAATACAGCTTCCCTTGAAACTAGTCTCCTAAGAACTACGTGATACCTTTTTCAAGGAAATGTTCGTTCTTTGCTATCTGCCTAAAGGCCTACATTTTCTAAACAATCCCCAACAATCAGTCTTGACCAGACCCCACTGAATGTCTACAGTGGCATGTGGAAATCCAGCTGCGTGCAGCTAAGAGTGAGGTTGTCAAGAAAATAAAGGCAAAAATAATTACACTTTTAATGCGTTCATGCTTTCACTTAAGCACAAAGCAGAGCTCCTCATACTGTTGTTGCCAAGCCTGAATTGGGACCCAACTCTGTTAACATTACCTGGTCTAGATCATTCCGTAAGGCAATTTTGCTTGTTACAAGCTCATGGGCAAGGTCATCATTCTCCTGCTCTAGCCTCATGCTTGCTTCTTGGAGTCTGCGGTTTTCCCTCTGTGGAAAGAAAGGAACAACCAGGAATGGAAGTTAATCCTTACAAAGAGCAATAAGCAAGTGCATGATGTGTGTAAAACACTGAAAAGGCAAGAGTGCACATTAAGACAAGACTGCTGCTCTGGGAAACAACAGTGAATTAAGCCAGCAGTGCAAATGCAGCTATTCCACTTACATCCCACTGGTTTGTGTTGTGTAAGGGACACAATGATTGTAGTGTTTCCCTGTCAAAAGTAAACACTGACCTCTCCACAAAAGCACTTGGTTTTGCTTGCTCATCACCTAAAGAAATCATGCAGATAAAATCCCACCCAGCAGCAGTGAACAGGGACCAATTAAAGAGTTACTCATAATAATGCTTCCAATCAAAGTAGAAAACTGTCCTGGCTCTACTTTACAAAATTCTGTTTGCAGAGATCCATAAAAAGAGTAGGTGATGCAGTGCCAACTTCCCATCTCCTGCAGTACCAGCAAAGAACAGCACTTAGCAGGGAACTCCCTACAGCTCATACATCCTGAATCGCCATTTGTGCACTTCTCTGTAACTCATGCCAGTGACACCAATGTGTACTTTACAGTGCCAGGTGAAGAGGGGAGCTCATCCCCGAGCACAGACCCAGGACCTGCTGGGGACAGTGACAGAAACAGAAAATGAAAACTCAGAGGCTGCAGGCCCTTGCTTCACTGCCCTCCCTACCCACTCCACACAGGCAGAAATGACTATCTGGAGCATTAACCACTGAAAGTGAGTGAACAGGAGAATGAACTGTCTTTAGAAATCTGTGACTGTTGTTCTAGAGCTGAGAAACAAAACCATATTCAAAAGATGCCTGTGGGTCAGTGGACTTCCAGGGTGTCAACATCAAATACAAGTTCTCATTTTCAGAAGAGCACAGCCAGGTGAGGGAGAGGTACCTTCCTCCAAATGGATTTTAAGAAAAAAAACTGTGCTGGCTTTCCATCACTGTGTATCTTCCATACTAAAACAGGCTTCAAAGGGAATCTCTGTGCTATGGAAATTCAAGGAAAAGCACCATTTTCATACAGAAACTCATAGCTGGAAAAACAGTAACTTATATGCTGAGATCTTCAAAAAGGACTTCTCACCTGAAAGGTAACTTATGTTCTCCAAAACAAAACAGTAAAAGTCCAACTATATCAGTAAAAGTCAATGATATATAGTAATATATATTAGCACTTAACGCGTTTTTCAAGAGTTGTTCAGTGAATGCATTCCTACAAAATGTGATTTCTTGCATATGTACGTTGTTCACCTGTTTTCACTTCTTCCTACTCACCAGCTATGCTCAGATATTTTTTCTTTCCAAACTCCCAACTATGAAATTGCAATTTTCATTTCTGTCACAAGCAGATTTTGCATGTTTGTCTTAAACAAAAACAGGAGCTCTAAGAGGATGCAAAAAAAGGTCTCTTCTCTGTGGGAACTTCCTCTGTGGCAGGAAGTGGAACCTCTACATATTTTCTTTCCGTAATGTGACTCTATTGTGTAACTAGAATAGGCACTGCTGTGTACAGGGAAGTAAGTTTGTTTCCCTTCCAAAAGATCGTACTTTGAGTAACTTGTTTTATACAGAATCTAAATAAAATGCCTTTGTCTTAAAACAGTTAAAATAATCACTGCCAAAAGACACACCATTTTGGAGATCTTTCTTATTTTAAATGCACTGTAGTCTGTTTGGGACAAGGAATTTTAGAAATTAAAGTAATATTTTTCTGTAAAAATAATATAAGCTTTAAAGTGTAAAACCAAATTGCAATCAATAATAATAACAATAGTAACAATTTCTAACACACCTTTTTTCCTGTATTTCATTCAGACTACCTTAAAAATGCTGATTTTTATAGACACGGCTCTGGTGGTTGTCAGAAAGTGACCTGAGCACCTAAACTTGAGACCTGAGTCGGACCAGGTTCTGCAGCACCAATACCTTTTCACAGAGATGTTGCTTAGAGAAAGAAAGCAGCAAATTCTTATGACTTTCACAAAACAACCGAGTTGGCTTTACCATTTTTGCTATGTCTTTGCCAAAAGCTTCAGTGTCTGCAAAGCAAGGCACGCAGTGTGAGGTTGAGAGTTCCTGCTTTGCATTCGCAGACAAGCGGGTAAGCAAGCTCTGTGCTTGGAAATGCACTATCCTCCTCTTAAACTAGAATTTGTGTGGCACGTTGGTAGTGAGTTAAAGATCTCTTACCTTGGGCATCCAGTCAATAGCTAAAAGATGTTTTTAGCTCATTCACCAAACTCTGAATGTCCAGCTGAGAGGTTCTCACAGGGCCAACTTTACTCTTCCTCCACCCAGGGTACTATGCCCGATTAGGTGGCTTGTCTTGTTCAGCTCCTCCCCCCAGGTCTAGCAGTGTAAAACTGCCTCCCTTCTCAGGAGGAAGCTCTTAAGTCTGCCTAAGTCTAAATAAAAACTAACAGGAAACAGTAAAGACAGGAAGAGCAAACAGCTCTCTTCATGTGTAGCAAACTATTTCCACAGGCTGTGAAATATTTACAGCTTTATGAAATAGGCTCACAATGACGAAGTTCTACAGACGGAGCTGGTCTGTTACAGCAAGACTCACATCAGAGGCAACATTTTGTAACTGGCATCAGCCAAATAGTCAAACTTACTAGTTGGCCCTGGTATAAACAGTCAGCTTCCTGCCTCCTCTCCACAACACTAAACTTACTATGACAACCATTTCCTTCTCGTCAGTATTGCTCAGTTTCTACAGGCAGTAAAATAACAGATCCCTCTTTCCCAAATTCCTCCTCCTGGTTACAAAAGGTGGCTGGTGAACTCAGGTTAGCTTTTAAAAGGAGGATACTGCATTTCCAAAGAAGACAAACAATGCTGATACACACAAACACAAATCAACTTACCTCCTGTAAAGTCACAGACCAAATACTGCTTTCAACCATTGGTGTAAAGACAGTGAAAACAGGATATAAATAAATTTCTAATAAAAAAAAATAGTTGCTTATTCTTCATTGTGTTTTTTGTTATGAGTTTTAGAGATATATACTCCCACTTCCATTACACTCTGGGTGGAAAGAAGACGGCAAACTTGAAAGCAGTAGGCAAGCCTCAGTTCAGGATGACTGAAAGGCTGAACTCCACCCTCTGCTCCCTTCCAGGCTGCACCAAGGAGCAATTCCTGAGATTAGTGGCCATAATGCATCCTTTTCTGTGCTGTATTCAAGTGAGGCGTAATGAGTCACCAACCTCGAGTCACCAACCTCGTTAAGCAATTCTCTTTCTGTTCAGCAACACCCTGCATTTGGTAGAGTTAGTTTTCTTCATGGTGGTTAGTAGGTTTTGGGTTTGTGCTGGAAAAGGTGTTGATAGGATAGAGACGGTTTGCTTATTGCAGAACAGGGCTTGCACAGAGCCAAGGCATTTTCTGCTTCTTGTACCTCCTCACCAGTGAGGGGGCTGGGGGTACACAATGAGCTGGGAGGAGACACAGCTAGCACAGCTGATCCCAACTGACCCCAAGGGACAGTCCAGACCATATGGCACCATGCTGAGTATGTAAAACAGGGAGAAGAAGAAAGAAGTGGGGACCTCTGGAGTGATTGTATTTGTCCTCTTACGTCACTGTTATTTGTGATGGAGGCCTGCTCTCCTGAAGATGGCTAAACAACTACCTGCCTGTGAGAAGGGGTGGTTGAGTTCCTTGTTTTGCTTTGCTGAGCACACAGCTTTTGCTTTACCTACTAAACTGTCTTCATCTCAACCCACGAGTTCTTTCACTATTACTCTGGTGATTCTCTCCCCTATCCTGCTTGTGGCAGAGTGAGAAAGCTGCTGCCTGACTTGCTGGCTGACTTAAATCAAGAATTCCAAATGCCAGACCTCTGAGTGTGAACAGATCCTCAATGATGGAATGAAAACACTGAATAAAAATCACTTTCTGCATGTGAGCAAACTGAGGTCTTCATAAACCAAATGGAAAGAGCTCTTGATGTTGGAGGAGCTCTACAGGAAAATTCTCTGAACTTCCATCTAGAAACCCAAAAATCTTTTACAGGAAGTGATCCAGGAAAGCCTCTCATGGTAAGCAACACAGAGGCTCTCGGAGGCAGTTGTGTTTTCTGTTTGGTGACTCTGGAGAAACATTCCCCAAAGTGGCCCAGCACACTTTTTAAAGAAACAACAGACAAGGTCCCACAATAAAAGTCATCATGATTTTCCTCATGATGGTTAACATTCAGTTGCCACAACTGAATAAAAATGACCAGTGTATTAATTTTTGCCTCCCCTTCAAAACACAGAGACGGCTGTTACAGAGAAGGCTATTATGTCCAAATTACACATTTATTCACACAACTTCTCCATTGCACAAAGATGTCGACAGAGGAAAAGGTAGAACAGAAGAGCAGCATTTGATTGCAAAACTCCAGCCCTTCTTTGTACATCTAAATCCTCTTTATTTTAAATCAATTCCCAGGCTCACTTCTGGAAATTTCTCATCAATTCAACCCAAATCTTGTTACATGAGGCATTCTCAAACACAGAAAAAAAACTCCATAATATTTCGAAAAAAATCATCCTGGACTCTTACTATTTTTTTCTGCATATAACTCACTTTTCCTCCTGGCTTCTATATGGAATTTGTAATTTATTTTAACTAAAAGTCATGAAGTTTGGTGACAAGCAACGATTTAGAACATATTTCACTTTTGCACCTTTTAAAAAATCTGATAATTTGTTAAACGCAATGGAAAATAAAGTGAAAACATGTCCAGAAAAACCTGCACTTTTCCTAAATAACACTTGTAAACAGAATGAAACAAACACCAAAACTCACAGCACTCTTTAATACTGTTATTTTGGTAAGTCAAATCTCAACATGTAAAATACGTGCTATGCAGGAACCACTGTGTGTTTAACATAGCTCATGGAAGCACATGAATTTAAACTGTCAGGCAACCCCGACTGGTTAATGGGCCAGAGAGTGCAAAACCAGCCCATCTCCCTCTCTCTTAAGACTATCAAGGCATTTCCTCTGAGGGCTGTGTCATAGGGAGGTATCTTACTCACATATTCTTCATCACTGCAGCTCTCAACTGCCCGTGTCTTTGTGGGCCTGACAAATTTCTGCTAGTAACAAAAACTCTAAAACTTATAACAAAAAACTATAAACCGATTGAGAGCTCTTTTCCTTCTTGACCTATATGAGGAACATTCTGCAGGGATCTCTACTCCAGTCATCCCATCCAAGAAACATCCCCTTCCTAGGCAGAAAAACCTCACTTTGTTTTGAGACGAGAAACTAAAAATTACAAGGCTGGAGGGCTGTGGGGCACAGCCCACAGAGCAGGAGCTGACAGCAGTGCTGTGCTTCTACACAAGACTGGCTTTTGTCCTTTCCCAAGCCAAGCTTGGTTGGTGGAAGCCGCACCCAGGTGCTGCCCAAACAAAATGCATCTGACCACGCAGGCTGCAGAGAACTCTCCTAAAGGACAAGCGAAAAACAAGGCTGGCACTCCACATGCTGCCTGGGAGGATCCACACAAGCGACATTTTCTTGCTGCCCTTTGGAAACACTCCTGAAATGTCAGTTCCTACCAACCTCAACTTCACATATCAATTAAATCTAACAAGCAAGACAAGGAACAAAGTACATTTAGAAGCATTTTTCCATGACACTCATCAACTGAAGTATGTATCTAGACTTTGAAGTTAATGTGCAATTAACCTATCACAGGGACTCTCTAATCACAGCATCCTTAGGAGGATCAGACCAAATCCAGCTTAATAAAAAAAACCACAGTGAATTTCAGAAGGGCAAACCAAAACCCTGGGCTGTGATCTTGACTGTGACAGTGACTCACATCAACAGTGGCCGAGAGTCATTCCTCAATCCTCATTTGCAGCTTGGGATAATGTTCTTCACTGTTCATTGACTGGGATTAATTAGTTAATACACTTCCTTTAAAGAAGAGCTTTAAAGAACCCTTATTTGTTTTCTAAGCATTATTTTAATTCCACAGTACTATAAGTGAACCACTAGAAAAATACTTAAAAGCTAATCAGCAGCCAGCTGTGTTTTTTTCCAAGTAGATCATACCTGCTATTGGCCCTCGGCAGCTACAGCACTCCTAAGTCTCATAAACAATAAAATCTCCACCCTTTGACAGCAAAAAACCTACACTTAAAACATAATTTTCTTATGGGCAAATTCTTTAAAAAAAAAAAAAAAAAAAATCAGTTTGACTTAGTACCTGTAAGTCATCTTTGTCACATTTATGAATTAAGGCGCACACTCTCACCACACATTTCCATACTCTGGTTTTCTGAACATGGTGCATTTTTCTCATGTTCACAGACCATGTCAAGCCTGTTGCACTCTGCCAGGAGTGTGGAGTGGTGAATAATCACAGACTCCATAACAACCGCAAATGGCACTTAATATATTAAGGCACAATGAAGAATAGTAGGAAAACAATACAAGGATATGTAAGAAATGTCACATCCCAGCTATCCTGGGCAGTGGGCAGTAAAGTGCTTCACCCCTGACAGCTTCACCTAGAGCAAACTGAATTGTTCAAAACAGAGCGAGGAAAAACCAGATCCTGAACACTCAGTAAAGTCTGTGCCCAGAGGCGGAGCCTCCAGCACACAAAATCTATGGCAACAGAACATAGTTGTGACAACGAAAGCAAATACATTGTAAAGATAAGCAAAGCTGACCCAAAACTGAAGAATAGCTCTTTTCCAGCTATCAAGCTAGCATATTAACAACTGAACCTTATTTCTCTGCTCCTTTAAAGAAGAATATCCTTCACTATTAATTCTATTGCAGTAGTACTTCAGGACCCCAGGAGAGCTCTGGGTCCCACCGTAATAGGTATTATCTTAACAAAAAATTACTGAAGCTTGGTATAAACAGGAATGAATAATAAAGGATCGTATCAGCCAAGGAAGAGCTCATCTTCCAAAGTCTCTGTGGATGCCACTGCACACAGCTTGCACTAGAACAATGTGTATTTTCTCCTTTCTGTGTCTGTAGCTGAATCACCCTTTATTTCTGCAGCTCATGAAGATCTCCCGTAAAAGTGCAACAGCAGAAGAGTTACCTACAAACATATAAACTGAAAGAAGAAAAATATTATATGTGGCTACTTGCAGATGTCTTAAGTGTTACAAATTGTGATTGAAATATTCTTGAAAAAAAGACTAAGTCCAAAGTTTTAAAGTGCTTATTCAAGAAAGGGTATGAGTTTGCCTTCACTTCCCTAAGGCCTGCATTGGCACATCCCAGCAAGGTAAGCATGATACACACACCTGTGCTTAACTGCTGGAGACAACTCACTCCTCGTGGCATTCACCAAATTCCCATATAGCATTTCCCTACCTTATATCTGTCCATAGGATCTTCCTGCTGCAGCTGGCTCTCTCGCATTGTTTGGTATTCTCTCTCATATTTCTTCAGCTTTTTCGTTGGCACCTGCGGAATAAATTTGGGAAACATGCATTTAAAAATTAGAGGAACACTGGAAAAGCTGACTGAATGCTCTCTCTACAAACAGGAAGCAGAGGAAGTGCTGGAAAGGTGCTAAATGAAGTCTCTCCCCACTGTCCCCCCTTTCCTACCCATTAAGCCATGTAAAACAGATCACATCAACAAATCTTTCTGTGCACACTGCTGCTAATTATTCAAACATTTAAAGGGAAACAAAAGTGGAGACATTTTAATAAGAGTAATGGTAAGAAAAAAAGCACAAACAAGTGGGAGAACAGGAAAGAGGAAAACACATTTTGATAGATATGATTCACCAAAACAATGCTTTAGCAAGACAACAGTTAAACGTGAGATGAGAACAAAGGAGTGCTCATACAAAAGGACTGGACAACTCACTGGGGGAGATCCAAGTAATGGTTTTTATTGCTGAAAGAGTATTAATGTCTAAATTACAGCCTGTGACCAATGCCCTCATGAAGTCTGGAATCAGAGTCATCCTAGGCACAGACGGAGATGCTGCAGTGCAAGAGAGTGGAGAGGTGGCTCAGAGAAATCACAAACAAATTTGGTAAACAGCCACGCAGAAAGGTCAAAAGCCAGGCTGCTTGATCATGGAAATGTTTCCACTTCAAACATTGATCAGAAGGAGCCTGTGTTCATTTAAACAAAGTATGGGGATCCTCTGCTTTCCCTCCACCTTTTGGTTGGGTATGCAGTGATCCCATCTCTCCCTGGAACTTTTGACAGCATTACTCATGTCACTTACTGGCAGTTGGAGATATCCCTAACACCATGCACCACCACGACTATAAACACAGGCTTTCCCTTGATGTGTTGTGCAGATATTTCTATCGCCTATATTGATCATCTTGAGCTGCCTCCTGCTGTGAGGACATGCCACTGTCACATTGCCTTAGGGCAAAAACTACTGCCAGTAAGCAGATATGAGTTTCTGTGTAGTTTTGGATCTGTTTTCTCTTCGCTGGTTTTCAGCCCAATACCTCTTTGTTCTGCAATACCCAAAGGGATCAGGAAAGTGCTCAGTGTTGCTGCAGAGGGAGGTGCAAGTAGCAAACATGATCTGCAAAGCATTAATAAAGTAGCACCAATTCCCACAATTACTGACGGAATCTGAAATCAACCCTGTTAAACCAAACAAGGAGAAAACAGTAAAGATAAAAACATGAAGTACATTGGGCAAGCATACAAGAAAATTTCACTTTGATGACAAGTAATAGGGCAAAACACCATGAAATGGAAGTGACTAAGAGATGCGTTTATACATTTCAACTGAATAATCCTCCTAACACAAATCCAGCCAGCTTTGTCTTGGCTGCAGCCTGAAACTGTTGAGGCTACTTAATAATCATAAGAAATTATTTCACCATAGTTTTTTAAATGAAACAAACCCATCGCATGTCTGTCCCCTCCTTTCACCAGAATTACTGGACTTTCATTTAGAGAACCAGATCAAGGCTCCCCAGCTGGGGTGTAATTAGGACACCCTCCAAACACAGTTCTCAGGTTCTGCTGTGGAGTTTTGTGCTCCAATATGCAACCACCAGGAAATAAATTTGAGGGAGATTTTGTGGTGCAGCATGGCGAAAAGGGACAACACAGGTGTAACTTAAATGATGATCTCTGATCAACCGAAGATCTTTCTGATTCTTGATGCTTTTCATTAAAACCTTTAAAGTACATATAAGAACTAAGTTTCAGTACACAGGGAGACAAACAAGACTCTCATTCACACAGCCACATGAGTGCTTCAGTAAGAATCCTGCCATCTGAAGGAACAAGAGATGCAAGACAGATTTTGTGTCTGTGTGTGTCAGTAGGGAGATAAGAGTGGAAAGTGAAGGTAAAAATTGCACAGTCACAATCCTTTACCCCCCTACGCTTATGTGAGCAGTGCTGCCTGCCTTAGCCTGGCACTGGGTGTTGGGGACTTCCTCCATTCACAACTATCGCAACTATCAGCCATTTCTTAATGCCTGCTAATTCATTTCATCAAGCCTTCTTATCTATATGGTGTCCTTACTTGCTTATATTTCAATTCACAACTGTGAGCAGGATCACATATGAGTCCTCTGGGACCTTGCGAGGCATCAGCTCCCTCGTTCAGCACCACAGGAGCCATCCACAGCCGTGGCCTGGGCTGAGGGATGGCCCGTATGCCTGGCACACTCTCCAGCAAGGAAACAGCACAGGAACACTTTCTTAGGAATACTGCCAGTAAACTATAACTGAAACAGCATCAGATCATGCAAGCATCAGGAGTGACATAGAAAGCAGCTTCCAGCTCTTTGAAAGATGATAGTGACTGATGCATGTTAGTATCTATTTGTGCTACAAATCTTGTCTTAACTGGGAAATACCTAAATACAGTGAAAGTCTATCTTGGGGAGCTGGGGGGAACTCCAACCAGAAACCAGTCCATACTAATCCACTTATCTTGTAAAACAGAAACTGGAGCAAGTGTGCCCAAGAACTTTGGAGGGGCTACACTTCACTGTCTATTCAGCCACATTTCTCAAAGGAGTTTGATAATTTATTACAGCACTTTCTTCTTCTGAGTATATACACTAATAAATGGGGAAAAAAATTTAAAAGCTCATTTCTGTATTTCCCAATTTAATTCCCTGAAACAGTTTGTGAATTCATCATGGGATTTCTCAGTAAGCATTTCCATAAGTAAGTGCATAGTGCTAGCTATGCTTCAGTCTTTATGGACTGATCCTGAAAAAAGTGCTCATAAATTCTCTGTAAAACCTTCTGCAATTTTGATTCCTTTTTTCCTTCTTTAGCACCATGGGGTATATTGGCTTGAACTGATGGTTATCAATTTAAGAGACTCTTACAGTGTATAAACGTTCCTCATAATTGTTTATCTCAATATCTCATCTCATTGAGTTGTTTTATTTTATTGCCTTCAAGTATAAAATCATGCTATAAGTAGTTGTATGTAGGGAAACACCCATACAGAGCATCTTAATAAAACATCCACACAGAAGAACTGAACAAGCAAAACCTCTTTCTGAAAAGACCCAATAACACCATATGCTTGAAGGACTCACTGCAGCATGGTGCAGGTGATATGTGGAAGGTGAGAAACAAAACCACATTGGTTTTAGCTGCCCCTGTTTAGACAGAGCTGGAGAGATTTGTTTCACTTCCTCAGGCTTCACTTCCTCCTCATTGTGTATGAACACTGTACCGAGCATCAGCATCTTCTCAGCTTCAGGAGACCCTTCCCTCATTCTGTGATTTGTTTAGCTGTTTACAGGCAGTTCAGCCTGACCTTGCTGGATTCATAAATCACACCTATGACTCCTTCCGCCCAAATGTTTTATTGTTCTAATGCAGCCAGAGCACTCAGAGGAGGCAGATATCACTGTGTTCATTTGATAGCCCAGGAAATAGAAGCAGAGATGGGAAGTGATTTCCTGAAAATGTTGCAGATAGCCAGAGGCTGATCCAGATAGTGAAATCCTATTACTTGATTTCTGATTTCCAGCACCACCACAATGCCAAACTGAGCAGGGGATCTCTTTCCCAGCTCCCCACTTCCTTTCTCTATCTATCACTGCATTAACACTCCAAAAATACATTGTCCAACTATACCAATAACGTAGCCAGTATCTCTAATCTCCTCATTCTTAACACTTTGTCCTCTCTAGTTCTTGCCTCAATGTAAAAGAAGAAAGAAAAAAAAGGGGAAAAAAAAAGAAAGAAAAAAGCCAATGAAGAAAGCGTGCAGTGCTTTCCTTTCTCATTCTTTGAAGCAAGTGACATAATTTTCTGTTTCACTGGCCATGGATTTGCTTGGTAGTTTCAAGCTGAGGTGGAGGTCTTGCACCCCTCCAAAGGCGAGCCTCCCAAGCCAGCTTTGAGTGAGCACTGACAGTGACCACAGACACTGGTGCAGCCCAGCCTCCCTTTCGTCCATCCATCACACACCTGTCGTGCTGTGATCCCCAGCACAAGCCCAGACTCTTCCCACTGCTGCAGAGCAGGACCATTTCCAAGTGGAGGTGATGCCTGGGCGCCTGCCTCAGCCCCTTCTCACAGCCACAAGTACCAAGTGCGAGAGGCTCCACAAAGCTGCAGAAGTGCTCCTTTTGAGGAGATGGGAGTTACACTTATGTGTACTTAATTTTCTTCACCTTACGATTTAAAACAATATCAGAAGAAAGTTCACAAAGAAGCTTGGTTCTTTGAGTGTGAAGACTGTGAGCTTTAAACAGAGCTCAGCAGATTAGCAATAAAAAATTTCCAATCACACACATCATCTTAGTTCACACTCAAAGTTGTACCATTTTGTTCCAGTCAATACTTCATATTTGAAATACAATTACATCAAATTCCAGGAAGGAAGCAGCTCTATTTTAAGGAATAGAGCTCTATTTAAGTACTTTATTAAGCCAAATGAAGGTTTCAGTGCAACAAAATTAGATGAAAAGACCAACTTGGTGCTACTCATCTGTGCAGTCATTACTATGGACAAGTGTATCATCCTTTCCTTAAAATGTGGTTGGCCAAAAGCCATGAGGACTATCCTGCCACATCTGTGTAGGAATAAGGCTCAGAAGTAGATAAAGCCATTTGTTTTCCTCCTAGGAGGAGGCAGTAATGAAAAAGAACAAACCCCAGAGTACTATGCTGGCACAACAGACTTGTCTCCTGGACTAGAATTTAAAGGAGGTGAATGGGATATCGTACTTAGCTATTATGCAGTATAATCTGAACAACTGTATCTCCAATGAGATCTTAGCCACAAGCATGAAATCTGAAAGGGAAAATTGTAATTTCTCACAAAACTCTATTTGGGATTGGTATTCTGCACAGAAAACCTGCAGCATCCATTCGCAAAAATTAATGTAGAGTTCACATCAGCTGCCTAAAAAGAAATTCCAGGCTGCAGAGTTCCAGGCTTGAAGAATTCCCATCTCTCCTTTTCACACCATGCAGGGAAGAGCTCAATG